GGTTGGATGTGTGTGTTCGTGTGTTTTTCGACCTCTGCTGTGCATCTCGAAGCAGTGACAGATTACTCTACCGAAGGATTCTTGTCAGCGTATTGGCGATTTGTCTCACGTCGGGGACGTCCATTTAAGTTGTATTCTGATTGTGGGACGAACTTCGTTGGTGCAGACAGGGCTCTTCAACAGTTATACTCAGAAGCAATCAGTCAAAATTCTCATCTATCAGCCATGCTCGCCCAAGATGGAACGTCATGGTACTTCAACCCTCCAGCTGCTCCTCACATGGGAGAAAAATGGGAGGCAGTAGTGAAGTCGATGAAACACCATCTCCATCGGACTATGGGAGAGACTCTTTACACGCTTGAAGAGATCACGACGTTGCTCACTCAAATCAAAGCGAAACTTAACTCTAGACCACTAGAACCACTTACCAATGATCAAGAGGATTTAGACACGCTTACTCCAGGACACTTCTTTGTAGGATTGGCGCTAAACTCACCACCAGAACCGTGCTTGTTGGATTTACCTCCAGCAAGGCTCACTCGCTGACTGGCAGCTAATCCAAGCTCAAAAATAAGGGTTTTGGAAGCAGTGATCTACACAGTACTTGCTTAGATTAAACTCAATCTCCAAGTGGCATAATCTGCTATGTAACATGCTTTCACTTTTCTTCCATGATTTAGAATTTTATTTTTTCAAAAGAAAGTATATTTGTTGTAAAATATAACCTTATCGTATAATGTTGTAGGTATAACCTTATTTGCTGATAAGTTTATATCCATGCTAAAAATAATGAAACAAACATAAACAGATTATTTTTTATTTGGCACTTTTAATGATATGATTCTTCTTTTTTTAATAACTAATTATGACTTTAAAAGCGATTCGTCAGTCGAAGTATTTTTTGAAAACTTTTAAAAATTTTTTTTATGTAAACTAAAGTTCGATGTAACAAAGCATTTTTTTTCTTTATTCCAAAATTTCCAATAAAACTTAAATTAATTTTTTTCACGAACTCTTGCCCCAAATAACTTAACACATGGTATGACAAGTTATTATTAAATGCTTTTTAAAATCGTGTCTTACTCAATCTAAAGCAATGTTAGCATCTTTAAATGTACTATAAAGTATTTCTTCAACTATTTTTATCATTTCACAAGATTCTGCTCCGTCAATGAGATTTAAAACTAGTTATGAACTTTAAATGAATTTAGCAAATTAAGTCCCAAGTTACGACTTAACATTAAACAGTTATATTGTATCATACAACTTTTATTTTAAGAAAATGCTGTAGATTTTAAGTAAAATCATTTGGTTCCTACCTCAAAGCCTACGTAAACGATTTGAACTCATTAACAGCAAAGTCTGAGTAATGCTTCAATAATTTTTAATCCTCTTCAGATATTTTTCACCACTCCCTTAATAGTTATGCTATCTACATAATTTGATAAAGAATGTCTGCATTACCCTTGTGAGAACGCTCTATCCCGCTGTTGGTTATTTTGCTTACATTCTCAATGCGTTTAATTATTGCCTTATTTAATATATCGTTGAGTAGGATTTTATGGTCTTGGGGTGCGCACGAAGTTAATAGTCGAGGAACTAGTATCAACGTCTTTATTTATGCAAAAACGAGAGAAGAGCGCGTCGCGTGTATACGACCTCCGTCCTTGCCGGTTTCAGCCAGAGAGCGCCTCCCTCCAGCATCTTATCTGCTTAGCCCTTTGCTCTCTTCCACTACAATCATCTGTAGTAGGCCCAAAAAGAGGGGGCACACGTACGTGTAGCTACAATATCGTACATGATGCGTCCAAGGCCACGCCACTATCATCCTCGATGACGATTTACTTCTTAATTTGTATGTTTGAGTTAGTCTAATGTTCGTGTAATGTTATTTGTGTTGTATGTGAGATTTTTAACATAGGAGTAAAAAGGTGTAGAGCAAAAAAAATCCTGTCCTGGTTTCTCCTTTACACAAATTCGCTAAGTTGTTCTCTTTTTGTGTAAACACTTATTGTTTTCTTCTTCTCAATTTAACAGTTAATGGTTACTACTTAGGCTTAGGGCTTATTGCAACTACTAAATTCTAGTTCAAGTTATTGATATTCCATTTTATTGAATATGGTATTGCAGTATGTAATAATGTTTTATATAGTAAAACTTATTCTCCTACTGTTGGTTTAATTATTATTTTAATGTTCTCATCAGTATTATTGTTACAATTGGCAGCGCTAGGATGCTATTAGATATTTTTAGATAATGCTTTTTTTTTATTCGTAAATATGGTAACTAAAAAAAATAAACAAACGTGACTTAGATTTATGTATGTATACATAATTTAATTAAATTTTTTTTTTTTTTCATATCCTCTTATGTACGCGGACGTTTCATGTTGTCAGCTGCCGGAGGTGCACCTCTGACTGCCATGAGTACTTGGTTTTACAACACGACTGGTCTTTGTATGGTCTTTATAATTGTTGGTTGCAGTGTCACTCCACCCGCTGCTGCGCATTTACTTCCGGAACTGTTTGTTCTACCTGTAAGATTCTGGACAAATTTAGTATTAAGAGGCCCCTACATTTTTAAAAATTCAAACGACTTTGCTGCCGTACCTAATAATATTTCTGCCGCCGTCCACGCTTAACCCTTGCAGCCTGACAGCTCCCCTTTTATTTGCACTACTTCGTATTCGTAGGCTTGGCGATACATGCGACCGTAATGGTTTCTTATTTTGTATATCCTCCTCTATTCCCGCAGGTACATTCTTGTTTTTAATATCTATTAAGAACCGCAGTAGAGAGAGTGAGGGGTGAGAAAAGAGAGCTGTTGGGTATGTCGTCTTTGTTAACGTTCTATCTATGTTTCTATTTTTCTATGTGTACGCTTATACACATATATGTACCTGGAAGGTGCTTTACTCGAATATGACGCGATCCAATGCATTATACTATTTAAGAACCTTGTGCTTATTTTTAGTTGTGAGTGTGGCACTCTCTTTATAGATATCTATTGTCTCATACGGTATACCGTATACATACATCTAATTCTCACTATTTTACTGTGACAACACTCCCTTGTTGCCACATACTCAATGTTTCCTTACCCTGTCTTTATTATTTTTATAATTTATTTGTTTCTTTTAAAATTCTCATTCTTATTGATAACTTAATAAGTACACTTCATCAACACATAAAAATTATTATTATACTCCAACAGAGGCAAGTCTGGGAAGATTGTCAATCTTGTGCCCGAGGCTCAATTGGCTCATTAGTCAGTCCGATTTCTTTTTCGTAAAACTTTTTCGATCCCTATCTTCCGTTCTTGTGTTTCATGCATGGAAAAGTAATAATGATGAAGCCTTATAGATTTTGATAACCCAACGGCGCTGGTACCCATTCACTGCAATTTTTGTTTTCAACTTTCTTTTCTCCCCTTTCGCTAGCTTGTGTTGCGACTTTTTATCGATTCGTACGCTTAATTCTGCGTGTTGTAGCCGCTATCTTTGCCCAGGTTGGTGACTACCCAACCACTATTCCTATATTTTTTGCTTTTTTGTTTTTTGTTTGTCTTTTTTCTACTTTTTGTTATTTCTTTTTTTTATTTTTATTTTTTGCTACATTATTCTAGTAGTTTTCCGTCACTGTAATCTCCGCAGGTTTTTGGTATGTCTCACGCCATGAGGTACTGGGTGAGCTCATTTCAGCAGAAATCATTGTGGTTGCTTTCAGCAGCATTGCTAGTTCTTTCTCTAACGTCACTCTTGCACCCGAGTAATCCATTTCATTGATTTTTTTTTTTTTTAATTTCAATGCGTAACTTGTTTTTGCTCTCCGGAATACAAGCGTCAGCTAAGGGAGTTCTCTGCGCAGTCCATGGGCCTCCTTTATTTACAAGAATTGCTTTTGATAGCTCCAGGCCTGTGCTGAAAGGATCTTTGTGGACTTGCTGGGGGTAGTGGGGTGTTTTAGGATATCTTCGAGGAAGAAAGGGGTGGTCTTAACGCCATTAATGTGATTGCTTTAGGGGATCACACTGTTAGGGGGTCACACTAAAGAGCGATAATAACAATTAGTTTGCGTTACCTAAAATCTGATTAATATTCTTTTTAAACTTTTCTCTGCCTTTTCAATTTATTTATTTTTTTTTCATCTATTTCATCCCGTATCTTCCATACTTGCAGCCTAATTTTAATATTTTTATACATGTTATATAATTTTCGTTGATTGTAGCTCCTTACTTTTGGTTTGCTAACGTTACCTGTTAATTACTTTATTGTTATTATCATTATTTTTGTTACATAAAACTTATTATAATTATTATTCTCTTTATAATTTCTCTTTGTTACATTTTTCGTTAAAGAATGCCACACTAACATCTTGTATGCTTTATTTTTTGTTCTAATATCGTTCGTATGATATTTTCATAACTCCTCACCTTTACCAGTATGCAAATATGTGTTTCCATTTTTCTTCGATCCTAACGTTGTTGTTTATTTACCTGTTTCCGTCAACGCGTTTTTTTTGCGGTGCATCCAGGGGCCGTGAAAATTTAAGAAAACCAAATTTTTGTACGTATTTTATCAAAAGTTTTTCTTTACAAGGGGGTGGGTTAATTGTCAGAAAATCTGTTGGTTGCGCAGTTATTAGCTATTTTATATTTTCTTTTTTTTATAATTTGTTGTTCACTCGCGGCTCGTTCGAGGGCCACGAATTAATAAAAACTAACGCTTTTTTATGTACATATTTATACACATATGTTTCTGTTCATCCTGTCTTCTATACAATATACTATATCGGTGTACTAGCTTTATTATTTTTTTTTTGTATTGCTTCTCTTATGATTATTATCATTAATATTTTCATCATAATTATTAACACGATCAATATTGTTGTAATTATCGTCGTTGTACTCCCTTCCGTCAATGGCTTATAGTCGCTTTAAGGGTCTGGTAAGGGTGGTGGTTCAGGTGAGGGCCTTATACGCTTTTCGTTAGGCTCCCCCATGTCAATCCTCATTCCTGGCCTTCCCTCTACATCTTGCCTCCTTACGTCGATCATCACTTGCACTCGCAGTTAGTCTGATCTTCCCTCCAACAAATCGTGTATATCTGGTTGTACTGTGGTGTCCCTCCTTGTTTCTTCTCTTCCTTTGACCTTTCTCGTGCTTGATCGGCTCTCTTCAATACTTCAACACCTCTACCTTCGAAAACACCTTTCCCAAATGTCTCGATGCTTCCTGCTACCTCGTCTGCTTCCCTTGACTGTCAGGTGCCCTTCACTCTCGCTACCTCTTCGGCCGCCAAGCTTGCTTATATCAGTTGCCAGCCCCAATCATGATTTTCTGATTCGCTATTCATTATTACTGGTGTTCCGCAATTTGCAACAATAATATCTTTTGACGGACTTTCGTTGCGCTCCGTAATAGAGAACGGTACTTGCTGGCGAGTTTTCTGTCCCTCTAGTACGACCTCATTTTTAGAAAAAAGTTTTTTATGTCGTGTTACTCGGGGGGCTGAAATTTTAAAACCAATCAATTTTTTTTTTTTCAAA